TTTTTGCCTCTACAGCAGTGGAGGTGGCTTTGTCATGGGGTTTCTCGAGGAAATGCTTCCAAGTAGACAAAATTATCTGGAGTCAGGGGTGAAAATGCCTGGGAGAAGAGAAGAGCTCCTCCAGCCGGCAAACCATCCCAGCAGCATGTCCCCTTCCAACAGGAACATCTTTGCAAAAAGTTTGGAATTGGGAAGACTCATCTTTTTGGCAGAGATGAGCATTAATGAAGAGCTTGTGCAGCACATCAATCACGGTGGTGCCAACCTGGGCTGTCACGCTTCCCCCGGGCAGGGGAGCTGGCAGGAGGTAGAAGCTGCTGGAAATTGCTTTGCTCTCCTGAGAGGTGCTGTTCCTCAGCCAGATAAAGGTGTGACAAAACAGCAAAAACATCACCATTACAGAGCCATTGTGTACCCTGGAGATGGGAGCTGCCTCGTCAGGCTTTGCTTAATGGCGCGACAGAGAAATGCTGAACACACGAACCAGCAGGCAACGCTCATTTATTCACATATTTTTTATTAAGTATGACTAAATGTACAAGCCTCATTATTTGCTAAGGGATTTCCATTCCTCAGAGCCCCTCCATGCTCATTGTGGCTCTCATTTCCTTTGTTTTCACTCAGCACACCCCTCCTGTCCCACAGGCAGGAGGACACAGGGGCCGAGGCTTTGCCCTGTGTCACTGTCACCCACCAGCCCCCCGTGGGTCTGGAGCCCACGAGGGTGGGTCCTGTGTCCACCTCCTCCATGGGGAAAACCTCTGGTCAATTCTGCTCCTACTTATTTACTTGTTTGCTGTCCCTGACTGTGTTCTGCAGGGAAGGGTTCCACTACATCTGCCTTCTAGGTTTGGATATTCAGAAAGTTTAAAGTTCAGGGTCAGATATTCACGTGCAGTGAGGCAGAGGCAGGGCTGGGGTGCTGGGGGGGGCTGGGGGGCTTCCTTGCACTTGTTGAGGTTTGAGGTCTTCTTAATTACATAGAGAAAAGTGTTAATCACAAGAGAGAAAGGCCCCTGCATTGCTCTCTTCTCCAGGAGTGCAATAAGCCCAGGGGGCAGAAGGACATGGGACAGGTTCTACCCTGAAACCCCTGATTCCCTTGGAGTTCTGTGGTGTGTTTTAGTGCATTTTTCATAGGTAAAGTATATGCTAAGTTCCTGCTCATGGCTGGCTGGCAGGCAAGAATGAATGGCCTTAATATACTGAGGAGCAAGTGCACGTTATTCCACTCAGACAATCTCTAGGAAAGATCTCAAAATCAGCCACAAATCTGCATCTACCAGAGCAGACAGCCAAGCAAACAAAAACCTCTCTCCACAGGTGTTTCCTGATTTTTAAGCAAACTCCATTTTTATTGCATTTATCCTATCCACATTATTTGCACTGTTATTGCTGTGGAGAAGCAACACTTCCATGCACCAAACTTTAGAGAAGGAACTATTAATGAACACAAGTAAAAGCAAATAAAGAGATTTCATAGCCTTTTGCATGCAGTTCATAGCAAGGCTCTTTCTAATGCAGATTGTGTCAGGGCTTCATTCTGAACTCAATGCCTCACATTAGAAAATTTCCAAATTAGTTGTAACTAATTTCCAAATTAGTTGTAACGGGCCTTCATCCTGCCACAGAGACAGTTGAAATGAGGTAGAAGCAACAACTGGGGCAGAAGAAGTTCTGTATTTCTTTGCTGATGAGCAATTGAGGAAATGAAATCACCAGAAGAGATGTCTTAAACACACAGACATAACGTGAGAAAGTACCACATTTCCACACATTTCTCACTTATCTGCTGGGGAGCCTCGGTCACTTCCATGACCCAGACAGCTGAGCAGAGAGCAGTGAGGGAGCTTGGTGGTGGAGTCCAGTGATGAAGAACTTTACAGACACCCTTTTCAGTGGTCCCTGGGTATTTGGATTGGTGCTGACTGAGAACCTGGAGCATTTTGCCACCCCTGTGGTGGAGGGACTGTCATTGCACGGGGGTTTCTGCCGGGAAGGTTGTGACACCCAGCCACAGGGTGAGCCCCAGAGCTGGACACCAGGTGAGGGTGATCTCACATCTCCTGTTGCACATCATGGCTCTGCCTGCAGGGAAGGGCAGTGGGAGCAGAGCTGGACACTGCTGCACTCCTCAGGTGTGCTGTACCACGTGCTTGTTGTTGCAGCGTTATGGCATTGATATTTAGATGCCACAGGATATGAAATAACCCATAATTGCGGTCTAATTGTTCTGCCAGAGTTTTATTCTTTCATTATATTGCCTGCAGAGCTTTTGTCTCCCTTCAGCATCATTGGTGCTATTATCCCCCCAGGACGCCCCTCCAGCACAGCATCCTGATTACTGTTCCAGGAACCGCCTGTCTCTGCTCCCACCCTGCCTGCTGCCCTCGGGATGAGCAACTGCAGAAATTCACGTTTTTACACCACAGGAAACAGAGGCAAAACTTCTCCCATGCTCCAGCTGTGGTTCCACGGGGAGCTTTGCCACGGAGCTGAACCACTGCAAGCACCCTGTGTGAGCCATGGTGGGGACTGCCACTGGTGAGAGGCTCTGCAACAGCTGGCCCTGGCCAAGCTCCTCATCTGCAATACCTGTTTTCATCTCTTTGCTGATTTCTGTGCAGTGAGAGGCTTTTTCCTTGAGGTCTCAGGCTGCAAATACAGTGAGGAAGCAAGGGAGGGGAGAAGGGGTAAGTTTCCTTCAGTTTGTGAAAGTGGCCACACTTTGATTTCTTTAAAATTCCTTTAAATTTCTTTCAAATTTTGATTTCTTCAAAATCCAGTTATTAGCTGAGGAAAGATCACCAGTTCCTCTGTGTCCTCAAGGCACTTTCAAGACACAGTGCATCACAGGTTTAATAACAACATATCTTTAACAGAGATTATACAAACCAGACAGAAATGTAACCAAAAGCCAGGAGGGAACCGTGCCAGCCAGATGGGGAAGAGAAGAGCCTGAGATGACCCACAGAGCTGCTTGTGCTCCCTGAACCTGGAAGTAACAAACCCTCCCTCTCCTTATTTGGGGCTGGGAAAGCATCATTTCCCTGTGACAGCATTGCCCCGGGCTCAAAGCTACAATAAGTGGTTGGAACTCCTTAAGCCTGGCACCAGCAGGTCCATCAGGCACCCACTGCCCCATGGGAAATGCTGCCTGCCCCATTCCCCAAGCAAAGAGCCTGAGAATATTCCTGTCTTCAAGCCTGAGTTGGTTATCACCCACAGAAATTCTGTATCACCACCTTCCTCTTCCTTGTTTTGCATTCCCTTGCCCTTCTCTTCATCCATGAAGTTTTCCATATGCTGTTCCCTTCCACATCGTTGGCACAGCTGTGGTGCAGCCCAGGTCTGTGAGCTGGTCCCTCTGGGGCTGCTCACAGGAACCAGTAGAAAATCACCAGGTAGTTCATTTCAGTCAATTTTGCATCTGTTTAATTCCTCCACAACTGCCTTTTTTGCTTGGGTTCGATCTCTGAGAGTATTAACCCATAAAGCCCCAAAGTGATTCGCTTCTTGGCTGTGACTCTGGAACACTGATGGTGACTTTGACAGAACTTCTCTGTCCTTTGTCTTTCTGATGAGCAATAACTGCTGCTTTGGTGAGACTGACTCACAGCCCATCTCCAGTAGCACTTGTCAGCCCTCAGGCTGCTTTGCAGAACCATGAGCACCTTCCTTCCTGGTCCTTGTTGAGCTGCAGGGTGCCAAAGTGGGAATTACTTCTCCACCATCACTTGCAATTCAAAATTTGGCCATTGTCTAGGGCCCTAAACCCAGTAACAAGTCCCTCAAAACCACTTGTGGCTTCAGTCATTCCATTTCCCCACTGGCACTGTGTGGCTGCAGCCTCTGTGCCCCAGCTCTAACAGCAGAAGTTTTATGGGTTTAATATTTGTAGGTTATGAAGCCCTAGGGAATGGAGAGGTGTTTTATCACAGATTTGGGTGAGAGGATCACTTTCTCCCAGCTTTGTTTACTAAATAGGTGAAGCCACAGAGGTCTTGGCAGTCTTTTCCCCCAGGTTTGTACAGACCAGGCTTCAAAATTTGCCTGTGAAATGCTAGACTTGAATCACTCAACATCAGGATGATCCTTCCTATTTTGGATATGCACCCCAGTGTCTGGGATTAACTGGGATTAAAAGCAAGCTCTCCCCTTGTCCTTTCCTCATCCACAGGTTAGGGGACCCTTAGTATTTATCCCTGCAGAAACAATTGCTCTTTCAATATGAAAATGCATTTTCTGACTGAGTGCTGAGACATCAGGAGCCAGCACGGAGCTGGTAGCAAATTCTGGCTACTCCTGTCCATCAGGGAGATACCAGACACCCCAGCCCGACCATCAGGGAGATACCAGACACCCCTGCCGGGGTGGGGGGAACAGTGGAGCCTGAAGCTGGGCTGGGGACACAAGGCACCCACAGCCCGGAGTCCTGAAGTGGACACAGTGCTGGGGAACTCTCAGCCCGTGTGTCTCTGCACCCCGGCTTCTCTAACCTGCAACCCCATCCCCTGCCTGGGCTCCTTCCTCCTCCTCTCCTGCTCAGCGGTGCGCTAGGACCCGGCGGGAGAAGGCGGGGGATGACGGCGGGAGGCGATGGGGGGTCCTGGGGGTGGAGGTATCCCTGAGGGGGACTGCGGGCGGTCCTGAGGCAGTCCTGGTGATTCCTGGGGGTCCCGGGGGCTGAGGGAGGTCCTGGAGGGTCCCGGGAGCTGGGGGTCCTGGGCAGTCCCGAGTGGTTCTCACGGCTGGGGACTCCTGGAGGGTCTCGGGGACTGGAGGGGTCCTGACCGCTCCCCGCACCTCTCGATGGGGAGTTTGCAGGGGAGGGGGGTGCAAAGAGCCGGGCGGCTGCAAGACTTGGGGTGAATCGTTGGAAAGAAGGGAGGGAGGAGCCCGGGTGGGCGGGAAGGCGGGGAGGGGGCGCGGGGGCAGCCCCGGCTCCCGGCTGTCGCCAAAGGGTTTGCGGGGCTCCTCCGCGAACGGCTGCGGGGACGATGGAGAACGGCTCGGGAGCCGCGCTGGGCGGCAGCGGCAACCAGAGCCTGGGCAGGATGCCCCGGCAGCCCCTGGAGCTGCAGGTGGTCACCATCCTGCTGGTGCTGCTCATCTGCGGGGTGGGCATCGCGGGCAACGCGATGGTGGTGCTGGTGGTGCTGCGCGCCAGGCACATGGTGACCCCCACCAACTGCTACCTGGTGAGCCTGGCGGTGGCCGACCTCATCGTGCTGCTGGCGGCCGGGCTGCCCAACATCTCCGAAGTGGTGGCTTCTTGGGTGTACGGCTACGCCGGCTGCCTCTGCATCACCTATCTGCAGTACCTGGGCATCAACATCTCCGCCTGGTCCATCGCCGCCTTCACGGTGGAGCGGTACATCGCCATCTGCCACGCCATCAAGGCGCAGCTCCTGTGCACCGTGTCCCGCGCCAAGCGCATCATCGCCTCGCTGTGGCTCTTCACCTCCCTGTACTGCCTCATGTGGTTCTTCCTGGTGGACACGACCCAGGTCACCTTCTCGGACGGGGCGCAGGTCAGCTGTGGCTACCGGGTCTCCAGAAGCCTTTACATGCCCATTTACTTCTTGGACTTTGCCGTCTTCTACGTCATCCCACTGGGGCTGGCGACCGTCCTCTACGGCCTCATCGCCCGCATCCTCTTCGTGAGCCCCCTGCCCGCCACCCCGCAGCGTTCCTGCCTGGGCTCCGTGCACCAGGGCAACTCCCTGCAGCTCTCCTGCCGGGTCAACAAGGGGGCCCTGAGCTCCCGCAAGCAGGTAAGGGGTCCCCGCGGTGCTGGGACCCGCTGGGCTGCAGGCAGCACTGCCAGGGGCTCGGGGCTTTGAGGGGCGTGGTGGCATGGGATGGGGTGCCACAGTGTTCTCCTCCCTTTGTGGGGGCAGTGGAGTGGGTTGGTTTGCTGCAAAGAAGCCTCCCCCAGGCCCAGCTGGGGTCTGGCAGGACAGGGCTTCAGCAGCACTTGGGAGCTGCAGGAGTGCAGGCATGTTTGCTGGTTAATTAATTACTGATGGCATCCCCGAGGAGGGGAAGGCTGGGTCACTTTGTGCCAGTGAGACTCACCTCTCAGTGTCCTGGGCAGGTGATCTTGGATTTAAAGGAGCAAAGCTGCCTTCCCTCTGAGCCCAACCCTGGCTGCAGCCCCCTCAGTCCCTGCAGCTGCAGAAGGTACTTCGATGTCACAGTGCTGTGTTTGCCTCTCAGTGATTCCTCTATCATTCAGCTGCCTGCTCACTCCCCATATCCTAACCCTTCTACCTCCTTCTGCCCTCATTCCCCCTCTTTCCCTGTACACATGGACAATCACTGCCTCACATTCCATCCCTTTGGACAGGTCAGCATCTAGACATGGGACACTCCTGCCTGTCCACTCTCCTGCTGCTTGCAGGAGGCCATCCCTTTCTGGATAGGCAGAGACATGGTCTGTTTTAAAGGAAAGGGCTGAATTTGGGAGTTGGGTTTGAGCCTGCCCTAAAGTCCTTGTGTTTCCAACCCAGTATCTTGTTGCCTGCCTTGCACAGAAACCTGAATTCCCCAGAAGAGATGAGTCAGAGTCACAGAGGGGAAGCGAACAGCCCAGAGAACAAGCATTTCTTCATGCACTTCTAAGTCCTTCCAGTTCAGCTTTTCCTCCCTTTTTCTCCAGCACTGAAAGGTTTAAAGCGAGTGCTGACTTTCTGCAGAAGTATTTGCCTGCTCTCCCAAGGCCCCACTGGCTGCTGTGGGAGCCTCGGGCAGGGTGTTCAGCAGCGAGGGCTCTCAATACAAGGCAGGTTGATGGACCTCTCCCTCCAGAGCAGCTGCTGGAGGGGCTGTGCCTCTCCCCCCCGTGGTGCTGTGCCGTGGAGTGGCTGGGCTGCACAAAGCATGCTGCAGCATCATTAGGACAAGTGGCTGTTGGGGCTGGATGAGGGGCACTCCAGCTCCTGGAAACATCCTGTACTCTCTTTTCCCTTACCCCAGGAGTTCACTCGAGATCGTCATTACCTCCCAAAATATCTCAGTGTGCAGGCTTCTCCTGGATGGCCTGACATCATTAGGAATAAAGGTGGCACTGAGTTTTTAAAACTATAAAGCAGTTTTCCAGGGCTTTCCTGTGGCTGGGTGTGTGTAGCTCAGGAGGTCCCTCTGACCAGAGTACACTGTTCCTTCTCTGTCCTCTCTGTATAGAGGAGCTGGTTCTTCCAGGTTTTGCTGTTGCTCCTGCACAGCCCCAGCACTGCACCACTTTCAGGGTGTGAAGATGCTGCTCTTCCCTCACTGGTGCCTCTAAAACACTCAAATCCAGAGCAGGACAACACAAGGTTTAAGTTTTACTGTGTTTATCGCTGATACAAACGCCAGCCCTTTCCAAGCACTTATTTCACCTGCTGGGGAGGGACCACTAGAGGGAGTGGGATTCCTAAAAAAAAGGATATGCAGCTCAGGACGATGGTGTGGGAACAAGGAGGGGGGACATTGGCCGGGGAGATGAGCTGCCCCTCAGCTTTGGCAGAGGGACCCAGGATGTTGTCAGGAATCTGCACAGCAGATATCCTTGGCCATCCTGTAACACTGGTTTATGTGCTTAAAAGTAGTTTTCAGCTAAATATCAACTGGTCTGGTAAAACATCCCCTTCTGTCAGCAAAGCCTTGTCTTGCTTCTGTCCACAGCTCATTGACAGCTGTTCTGTGCACACACTGGATGTAAGAGAGTTGTGGCAAAACACTTGTAAAATTGTTGTCCCTGAGCTGGTGCTACCCTGAGAGAGAGATGCTTGAGGGCTACAGCAAAGCTCTGGCTTTTGAGTTCAGCTTTTTTGTTGGGAGTCACAATTCAGGACCGCTGTAGAAAGTGATAAATGTCCCAAACTTCCCTGAGTGCTGATTAGGTTCATTTTTCACAAGAGCACCTGAAGTAAGTTCAGAGCACCTCAGCAAGGTGGAATGAGGAGAGGCACAGAGGTTTCAGCCAGTCACACGAACACTGGAGGGTTTTTTTCCCAGGATGGAGATCTAAGAGTGAGTTTGGGATAAACCATCAGGTTTTATCCAGAGGAAGCATCCTGTGTCCACAGAACTTCACTGCAGTCACATCCAGCTACAACCATGAGGATTTGTAGAGATTTTGGTTGTGGTCAACAGTGTGCCAGGCAGCCCCTGTCCAGGAGTAATTCTATAGACACTGGCAGTTGCCCACTAGGTAGGGTGGCCTAAAACCAAGAGCTTGTGAGATGTGTCTTGCTCTTCTGGATCCAGCCAGCCCTTGTAAAGGCATTGCAAAGCTCTGAAGCTTTTACTGACACCACTTGCACATTCCCTCATATCTTTCCCAAAAGGCAGCAAACTGTGGCAGCAAACAAGCTGGAGTCTTAGCAACAACCTCAGCACTCATTGTATCACTGTGAGATCTTATTCTGGGAAGTGTCCTCACATTTCCATTAAACCACACACAGCAAATCCCTTCTATTTTGGCCTCAGCGTGGTAACAGTCCCTTTCTTGTAGGGAAAGTTTTGTTGCCACTACCAACCACCCCCAAACTCTACTCACAGCATTACAGGAAGGCATAGTTCCTTGTGAGGAAGTAAAAAAAGCACTCCAAGAAAAGTCGAGAGACTGTAAATGTGATCTGTGATTATTTCCATACCGAGAACTGGAGTTATTGCACAACTCCCCTCCTGGAGTTTGCAACACCACTGCCTTGATATGCGTGTGGCATCAGTGTTTAGTCATACTTTCCTCCGTGGGGACGTGTGGATTTTGTAAGTATTTGTTGGAGGAGGATTGTCACCTCCCAGAAATAGCTGTTGAAATTATTAGGATCACTGAGGTTTCAGTACAAACACCCATTTCCCTAAACAAGCTTATGTCGATCTGAGGGCAATTACTGCTCACTTCTGAATTCTCAGTTTCTTTTTGTTCCCACTATGTTAATGTAGTGCTTCCCCAGAGTGCTGCAAATTAAAATAACCCATGCCAATTAGCCAAGTAACTCCCATATCAGCACAAGGAGGAATTTCTTTAAGGTTCCTGACAGTGTCCTCTGCTCCCAGTGTTGCTCTGTGTCAGGAGCCTATTTCCTGGAACAATGTATCTGATGTAGGAAACCAGGAAACTCTAGGCAGGGAGATGAGATATAGCACCCCAAAACTCAGGTCTCCACCTTTGGACAAGTATTTTCCCCATTGTTTTATTGTTATGTACAATTGTCAAGTTGTTGTTTTGTTTGTTTGTTTGTTTGTTTTCTGGTACAGAAATTCCTATGAGTATCCTAGCCCATTTCCAGGATGGTGGATGGTTCTAAAGCATTTTAAAGGATCTTCAAGGATAGATGAAAACCTATATTTTAAGGGTTTATTTATGCAAGAATGTTTCCTGAGTAAAATGGTTTCAGGGACAAAGAGCTCCACAGTTTGGGTGCCTGTTTTAAATGCTTAAAGAGAGATAGAAGCACTGTGTAAACTGAATGAGCTGCCTGCAGCACTTCTCCAGGCAGGAAGGTTCTGCTGGAGGTCCAGCATCACCTGATTATGTCTCTTTTTACGTATCCCCCCCGTCAAGGTGACCAAAATGCTGGCTGTCGTGGTGGTGCTCTTCGCCCTGCTGTGGATGCCCTACCGCACGCTGGTGGTGGTGAACTCCTTCATGGACCCGCCCTACCTCAACACCTGGTTCCTCCTCTTCTGCCGCCTGTGCATCTACCTGAACAGCGCCATCAACCCCATCATCTACAACCTCATGTCCCAGAAGTTCCGGGCTGCCTTCAGGAAGCTGTACAAGTGCGAGGAGAAGCGCGCTGAGCGCCCTGCCCCGTGCGCCGCCCCCGTGTCCTACAGCGTGGGGAAGGACTGCTCCCAGGACAGCTCTGACCACAGCATCACCCAGCAAGGGGACCTCAGCAGGCTCCCTGGCCCTGCAAAGAAGAGCAGGCAAATCCTGGGACCCTGAAAGGATGCAGGCAGTGGGAGCTCTCCGGAAAATGCCGAGGGAAATGGCTTTGGCCTTTGGCGTTGGCAGCAAGCTGCGTTTAACACTCCTGCAGGGCATTTCACAAAGCACATCGTTAAAGGCAAATCCCTCGGCTTTTCCTTCACGCTAATCTGTTCTTGTTTGGTGAAGTGTTTGGCACAGGTCGGTGTTTAGCATCTTTAAAGCATCTCTTGTAAATACAGCAGTGCACTGCCATTCTGTGTTACCGGTTGCTTGTTGAGCTGGGCCAAAGCGTTGAAAGGAAACCCAGGAAGAGAAGAACATTCAAGGAAATAAAAAACCAACCTCTTCTTGCTGGAGCCATTTTCTTAGAGAGTGAGACTCTCCTACCCAAATTTACATGCCTCTGACACAGACACCCCATGGGAGCTGCTTCTCCAGAGTCCTTTTGGAGTTAATGGGGACAACTGGGCACTTCTAAGCAGTGTCTCCTCTCCTCTCAGCACAGTCCTCTGAGGAATACACAGCCCTGCTGAGGAGATCAATGCCTCCCAAGATTTCATGGTGACACATTTATTACTGCTGTCATTCTGTGAGCAAAGTGGCTATTCATAACCTTCAGCATCCAAGAAACCAGCCCAAGAACACTTGACCCAGACTTGCAAGAGACTATCTGGACTATGAGTAAAATGAAAAAGCACACACACATGAGCCAAACCCTAAGGATCTTGCCAAATAAAACAAGTCTCAGCCACCAGTAACCCTCGAGTGACTGCAAAAAATTATTTGAACAGCCAGTGCAGTCTCACTTGTCAACACTGGTTTTCAGCAAGCTATGGTGTTAAAAGATCTTAGAATGTTTCATCCACTCAGGAAAAATATCTGTGTGATACGTTTAAGAGCACAAGATGTCGGTAACCATTCTGCATCACTTGGCTGGGCGAGTCAGGACAAGACCTCAAGTTACCCTGGTCTGTCAGAACCGTCCAGGACCTGTCTCATTATGTGTAGGGTGGCTTTGCATGTATAATTACTACATTGTGAATTATTAAACCAGCTACTTCGTCCCTAAAATAACTGTAGGATGAGGAAAGAGAATGATTTGAAACATTCAAATTTGGAATTTAAGGATTCATGCCACTTTTGCACTCTTTTGTGTATATTGTGTGTATTGGTAACTTAGGCACAGAGTTCCTATTCATTGTTGTTGTGGGAATTGTGCAGAGACATTTGGCATTTGCTTCTTGAAGAAGATGGAAGTGTTTTTGCTAACATGGGACAATTTGCTTGTAACAATATTTTCTCTGGTACAGATTTTGTGGGTTTTTTTCCCCTTAGATTTTTCCTTAGCAGCTCAGAACAAGCCATTGATAAAAGCATCAATAAACAAGCCATTGATAAAACCAGAGCAGCAAGGACCAGGGAGGAGGAAGAGGAGCCCTGGGCCATTGTTGGAGCCTCCCTGGGGCCTCGAGCACAGGCAGCATCTCCTGGGGGATGGGCTGTCCTGTGTCCCCCAGCCTGTCACCCTGAAGCTGTGGATGCAGAGAGCAGCAGGGAGGCCAGCTTTGCCCTGAGGCCATGTGGGAAGAGGATTTACTGTCCGAGATTGGAAACCCTCTTGCATCCTGACCTGAGGATTTTTCAGGCATGGGATGTGCCCTTTGACAGACAGCCTTGATCTCTGCAAACACAAGGAGCAGCTTAACTCCAAAGTAACTCCAGCAGGATATTTTCCACCTCCTCATCACATTTCCAGTCTTCACCGTTCCCATTTATGTTTTCTTCCCCCAGAGAGAGACATCCTAAAAGCACTATTCTCTTAATTAAATTTCAGCCTCAGCCCAACAGCTAATTGATAGTTCTGAAATTTTCGTTCAGCATACTTAGCATTCAATTAAAACCCGGTTCTGTTCTCCCCTTTCTGCCCTCAGCTGCCAAGTACAGCATGACCCTGTGTTATTTTGTGAGCAGTAATTGGCAGATAAATTCCCCTGGCACCACGAGTTCTCCGGCAAACGCACCAGAGCGGTAAACTCTGCAGATGAGCAATGAGTTCCTGCTCTTTCCCCCTCCATGTATTCTGACACTTTAGGAGGAGCTGAGAGATTTTTAGGTGGAAGTGGAGGCAGAAGGTCAGCACTCAGCTTGGTGGAGAGATGCTGGCTAAGAGGACAGGCAGCTACGTGCTGCTGGGAAATAAATCACCAGCAGAAAGGAATTAAAAGAAATAACTCACCACTGTAACTTCCTCTGGATATCCAGGGTCTGAATAAAAACCTCGATTCCTTGTAAGAAATCAAAGAGCTCCCTTCAGGCTTCAGCCTGCACTACCTTATGTCTTGCAACATCCCACCCTGCTCGTAAAGTCTGAAGCTGTATTTTACCCTCAGCATTTATTTGTCTCAGTGGCATGAGTGTAGGCTGTGAGTTTATAAATATGCCATCAAATAAAGAATCTATTGCTCCCAAACAGTCTACCACATTGAAGCTGCTCCTCAAGTTAATCTAACTTGCTACTCTCCTAATTAAAGCCCATTATTTCTAACCCCTGCCCTTCCAGTGCTTGTTAACCTGCTTAAACACATTCTGGTTTCTTCAATTACAAACAAATACGTCCTCTGGCAGGGGAGGAGGGACCTGGTACTGCTGCAGAGCCTTGGGGAGAGGGGAAGAATTTGTGAGCAGTGCAAAGAGGGGGATGCAGGAGGCAGGGCCTTGGGGAGGGGCTGCTGGAGAGGGGTGAGTGAGCTTTCTGGGCTCTGAGTCTGCTGTTTCTATAGAGACAGGGGATGCTGTGACTGCTCTGGTGGCCGCTCACTGCTCCTCCAGTAGGGACTGAATGCCTGAAGCCACAAGCTGGGAAGCTTTTAAAAGCTCTTTCCTCTCAAGGGGAAGGTCCTGGGGTGGTCCTGGTGATAATGTGATTTAGAGATCCTCAGTGAGGGCCCACGGTGTTCCCAAGCTGGCTGATCTGTCTGCCCTTTTGGGCACAGTGTGAGTGGCTGCTCAGAGGAAACAAAATAAGAGCAACTTTTTCCAGCTGTGCAGTGCCAGCATTTCTGGCAGGAGAGGAGAGGGTGGCCACTGTGGGGCCCCTTGATGCCAGCCCTGAGCTGGGCACAGCATGCCCTTGGCTTTCAGAGCAGGCTGGGGGCTAAGCCAGGGGCCAGGCATGGGAAAACATTTCACTGGAGTTGCTGATGGTGTCTCTTACTGCTCCTGGGACTCACACTGCCTTCCTCCAGGAAGGGTCCCGAAGCAAAGCAGTGGTGTGGAGCCAGCCCCATTCCTGGCTCCTAGGCCAGAAAGCAGCACAGGAACCCCTCTGCACCTTCCAGCACCTACTCCCTGCCAGGACCACCCTCAGCCCAGCTCTGGCCCTTCCTCTCGTGCAAAGATGAAGGCCAAGAGAAAAGGTTGCTCCTGAGAGCCCCGATGCCCTGCAAGGACAGTGGAGCTGTCTCCAGGACGCCTGGGCAGGTCACTGTCAAAGGACACTGGGGCTCAGATTGCACCTTCCCTCCCACCAGGGCAGGGTAAGGCTGCCCTTCGACACAGGATCAGGCCAGTGCCTTTAGCCTGGTTCTCACATATCAGACACCTCCCTGCCCGCCCCTGGGGACACTCAGATGGACACAGTGAGGGGACACTACCCCTGAAACCAGCAGCTATTGAGGCACAGACCCCAGCACTGTTCCCCTTCCCCTGGGGAAGGTGCAGCCTTCTTGTTCTGCCTTTATTAATACTTTTAAAGCAACATGTCACTGCTTCAGCAACAGATCCACCTCCCTCCCTGCTGCCTCTGCCACACACGGGCCAAAGACCTGCTCCATTCATCAGCCTGAGATTTATGAGGTGCACAGGGCTCCAGTTACCCTGCTGTCCCCAGCTGATGAATGAGATGCGGCTGGTTCCTCGCATACCAGAAGCAAAACAAGCCCAGAGGAGAGTAAAGCCATCGTTTCATCAAACTCAGCTCCTTAAGCCTCTACCAAAGCATGAAATCTTCTGCCACAAGACTCCTTGCACTGAACAAAGCCAAGGGTGGCACTCCTGCCTGCAAAGACCGAGCCTGCATCCCACCAGGCTCTCTGCACAGCCCAGCTCTGCTCATGTGAGACGCTCCAGAAATAGAAAAGGGATTGAAGGTTTCAGCTACTCTGGATTCCTCAGGCCCCGGGGCTCTGCTGCCCTAAGCTGGTGCTGGGCCCTGCTCTTCCCTCCTCCCTCCTCCATAAATCACCCATCTGCCATCTCCCTGCCCCTCGGGTCTGGCTTTCCTCTCACTTGGGTTGTTTCAAGAGGCTGAGTGAGAGGATGGGTCACAGGCAAAGGAGAATCACTGCTGCCCAAACCCAGGAGGAATGTGGCACTGGAGGAGCAGCCAGTGACGCACAGCTTGGAGGAAACTTGGCAGCAGCCCTGGGGTCGGGAGGCAGCAAAGGGACCTGTCAGCAGCCACCTGCATGTCCTGGGCGGGCTTTGGGCCGGTGTCCTGCCTTTCCTCCTGGCCCAGGGCAACCTCTGCCAGGGGCCAGCACGATGGTGGCACACAGAGTGTGCTCAGAGAGCAGGGGGTGTCCTCAGACGGCTGCCACCAAACTCCTAAAGAGCAGTAAGTGAGAGCAGCTCTCCTTGCAAAGCACCCCCAGTCAGTACAAGAGTGCAATATTTTGAAATAGATAACTGGGAAAAAGCTGAAAAAAAACATCCAGGTGCCACCGGTGAAATTCTGCACCACTCTCTCCTTTAGGACTGAGTGAATGTGTCAACATAGAGAAGAACCTGCAGATTCCCCTGCAAAGATCCACATGGATAAAGTGAGCAGATAACTGTTTATTATTGCACGTAATCCAGCAGAACAACCGACAGAAAACTCCGGACAGTAGTACACAGATCGTAGTAAACAGCTTGCGAAATCTGTGCTGAAGGTATCTTTGTGTGAAGAGTGAAAGGTATCTGCATCTCTGTAAGACCTGAAAAGTATAACGCCATATCCTAGTCAGTTTTGAAAGCATGCAGTTTGAGGTAAATCTGGTATTTTGCATCTAAGGAAATGAAATCCCTAAGGGGCTCTCTCTCTGTGTGTATATATCCATACCTCAGTGCAATATGGATATAGTTATATGTCACATAAAAGCAAATCTACCACCTTTTCTCAGAAGGTTACTAGGAGGAAAGCACATTACTGAGTGCATATCACATGCATAAAAAATTGGGGGGGAGGGGGAATTACCTTAGCACTGCTGAAAAAGATCCATTTTTGTGCTTAGTGATAAATAAAAGCCCCTCAGGTCTCTGGATGGAAATTGTCTTGGTGGTGAATAAAAGCAGTTGGCATACTGAAACTGCAGAGCTGGCAAGTGAATGCCAGCAAACTGAGATAAAACCTCAAAGGCAGCAGAGCCTGGGGTTTGCAATACATTTATACTTAAGAAAAGAGGAAAAAAAAAAAAAAGAAAAGAAGCAAATTGCTACTAAGCTATGCTCTGTGGAAGCGTAGATGGTGCTGCACAGCTTTCTCAGGACTGGTACAGCCACATGGCTTTTAGGGATCACATTCACTTCTCCCACAGTTAACACCACGTATTTGCTACTGTGGCAAAGTTCCTGAGCTGAATAAGGTTAAAAAATAAAATTGGTTCACAAAGAAAAGTACTGAATTATTCTCACTCTCTTATGCCATAGCTAGAGTAGATAAATCGGGCAGGTTTTGCCCTGTGTCTCCAGTCAGTGTAAACCCCTGCATGTCTGCCACCCCATCTCTTGACCTTTGGAGCAGACTGGGCACCTGTTTTTTTCCTTAACCATCATTTCCCCATTTCTTCCAGTCCAACAAGGTTTTCCCACCCAGTCCTGTGCTGTGGGACTTCAGGATACACAGAGGTGCACAACCAACTATAAACAACATCTCCGATTATCTTAAAAAGGGATAGAAAATACACATTGCTCTTAAAAGAAAGAAAGAAACATGTCCAAGCACTCAGCCTCACACTAAACTGCAACTTCATCTGTGCCGACTTTCCAAGCTCGCACTGCTAAAGATCAGAGCAGATCATGGTGGAAAAATCTCCTTCCAAAGGTCACTCCCTGTCACAGCTTTGGGAAAATCGGTGCAAATCGCCCAGGCCTCAGCCTCGCACACACAACAGCTAGAACTGCCCACTGTACTCTGCCCCTGCTGACAGCCTGGATGCCTCCTATGTCTGAGCCCAGCACCCAAATACACTGGAGTCACTCGTGTCTCTGCACCTTTTTTCTGTCAGGAATAAGGTAACCTCTCCCACGACAGCCACCCTGCATCCTCTGGCTGGGAAGTCTGTTCTCTCCATGCAGTGAGAGCCCAGGGGGAGGAACCTGCAGGCATACAGAGGTATTTTCAGCAAGTACCTCCTTTTTACTGTAACTTGCAACATTTTCATTGACAAAAGGGGGTAAAGGGACCAATTCATCACACGTACTTCCTTTTCCCGTTACAGCGGGAAGCCACCAACTGCAAGACGCTTCTGTGCAGAGCACTGCTGGTGGCAGGAGGACACTCAGACGGTGCCTGCTCCCAAAACAGGCACCATCTCCACCCACAGCACCCCCACATGCACCAACAGCCTCGGATCCACCAGTCCCTCGCACCCCACCCGCGGCCCCGTCCGCGAAGCGCCGGCCGGCATGGGCAGGACTCGGGTTACACTTCAACAAGCCCAATTTCAACTTGCTCCCCCTCTCAGTCCTCCATACGTGGAAAATGACTCCAGGTGACGGCGGGGGCGGGGGAAAGGAAAAGACTTTTTGTTCATCCCTTTGGATGACTTCCAAGCACGGAGGGTGACATCGTCCACCCCTGGCCATGGCGCGGCTCTCAGGAGTCATTCTGGTTGCTTCATCTCCACGCCATGGATGAGAACCTTTGGAAAATCCCTGACACCGAGTCAGCCAGGGGAGTTACAAAACACATCAGTGTGCACGCATGAGACCTTCTCACTCGTTTTCCTACAGCTACAGATAAATCCCTCATCCCCGGCATGGCAGGACAGTTGATGGCTTTGGTGAGAATAATTTAAGGCAACTGCTATTTTATACAAAGAAGAGAAGGAGACCACAGTGCAGAAATCCTGGCTTTTCCTTGGTAGATTGCAGAGGCCAGCCACAGCCTGGGAGCAGGAGACTGAACCGATCTTCAGGTGCTCTCGTTTAAGGTTGATGTTTGCCGTGCAACCTTGGGATCTCAAGTCCTCCTCTTAGGTGTTTCCAGGTGGCTGAGCTTTAATCCCCGCCAAGGTCTGAGGTCTCCATCAGCAGCAACGCCTGTCCCAGACACAGATGAACAGGAGAGTCAAGGGGGAGCAAGACACACGACCAACACATAACTGCAGTTGGCTGCAAAGCTTTCACCTGCATGGTGAAATCAGACCCATCTCCCAGAAGGCCCCAGGAAGGCAGCCCAGTACCCTCACAGGGGCCTGGGAGGTGCCTCCTTGTGTTATGGCATGAGGCTCAAGGGTCATGTTCAGCCTTGATGGCAGATTTTTTTGAAATATTTGAGCCCAAGGTGACAGAAATCTTGTGCAAGCCCAGGACACATTCCTGTTTGTAGGAATCCCACAGGCAGGAGAGACCTCACAAGATTTTACTGCCACCAAATACAAATGGAAGACCTGAGCGAGCTCCAGATTAACCTTAATCTGACAGACATCTTAGCATGGGCAGTAAAGCGAGTCAATCCTAAAACATCCAGTGAGGTCTGTAATTGAGGGTAAAATCTTATTGCTCTTCTTACCTTGTTTGACAGGCTCATCATGTCAAAAAATGCACAAATAGGATGGCCAGACCAATGTTCAGTAAGATGACCATGCAGATCACGATTGTGTTAGGTCCCTGCAGAAAAAACCCAAAACAGAGTATTACACACCACAGCTCCAGCAGAGACAGATGCAGCTTCATTCTGCTGTTCAAAAATACCACAATCACACCCTCCTGACGCACTGAAATCTGGCACTTAACAACCAGCCTGAATTTCAAACTAAGGCAACGTTTATCAACCCCTATTCCTGCTTCTTCCCTGCAAACTCCTTTGAAGGAGACTAAATGAGGCTTTTTCTGAGGCTAAATCATATTAAAGGAGACCCCATCCACAGGCACATGAACTGCTGAGCCCGTGTCAAGCTACTCCTGCCAACTCCTTTCTGCACACACATGGCCCATGTTTGTAAAGTAGTCATTTTTAAGATGAACAAAAGCACCCATATGAGATCAGTACAATGCTCTAATTTCAGACTGAAATATTTCCAAGCTGGGCTTCTCTAAGGTCGCATCGGAACCATTCATGTCCAAAGGGCTGCGAGATGAGACTCAGTGGCCTAATAAAATGTCTGGGTTTCCAGATGCATTTGCTAACAGCAGAATTGAATTTCAGTGAGTATATTTTAAACCTGGGAAATCAGCTGGTGATTTGACACCACAGTTCAGCTCACGATGTGTCCCTAAGGCAAAAAAGTAAATGTAACAGATAAAAGAGAAACACACTAGATTTTTCTTCCCTGCTTCCCCCCGCCCCCCAACATTCAGATCAATGTTGGCTGGTAAAGGGGTGGGAAAAGGGGAGAAAAGTGTAAAACACGATTTGGGAGATGCCTGTTTTCCCCAAATTTTGAAATAGCGATGTGTCTGAAAGCCTATCTGCCCTGGTGCAGAGAGGAGGTCAAAACAGGAGGGTTATGAATGCCAGGCCCAGCATCTGGAGCAGGGCAGGCTGGGAAGGTGACAGGAGAGGGAACATCAAGGCTCTGCTCCAGCAAGTGCTGGGATCCCAAAAAGAGCCTCTGGGCACCACTCGGGGCCCGCTGCAGGCTCAGGTCTGTGGGCTCTGCATCTCTGTGGGTCCTGTCAGACCTCTTGGGGAACAATAAACAAAAGGCCAAGGCAGTTCCCTGGGGGACTCGCAGGGCTGCCCCACGTCACCTCTTCGCACTCCTCCACCTTCTGTGCTGCCACCACTGCTGCCGGGCTCCGCTTGGCCCCCGCCTTGGGCTCCGTCCGCCCCGGTGCCCTGGCCTCAGTCTTCCTGTCCTCAGCCCGGCCCGTGGGCCTGCGCTCGGGGCTGGGGCGCTGCTGCGGCTCCTTGGGCCGGGGCGGCTCCGGCTTGGCCTCCGCCACGGCCGCCGGCTTCTCCTCCCGCTCCTGCGGCGGGGCAGGGGTGCCCCCCCGGCGCTGAGGGTCCCCCCGGGGCTCCGGGGAGGGCGGCTCACGCTCGGGGAACTGCTCCTCCTCATAGTCCGTGGCGGGGGTGACCGGGGAGGTGCGGACGGCGTAGCTGTGGTAGCCCTTGAAGAGCTCGACGTCGGGCTCGAGCGCCATGCGCTGCAGCGGCCCGATCTCCATCTGCTCGGCGGGGCGGGCCCGGCCCCGCGAGGCCGGACGGGCCTCACCCTCGGGGGGCGCGGGGCTCCCGCCGCCCGCCTCGGCCCAGCTGCCCAGACGGAGGGCACCGTCCTGCCGGGCGGCCGCCTTGGCGCGCTTGGCCTCGGGAGGGGTGGCGGCGGGGCTGGGGGACGGGCTGGCGCGGCGCGGCGGCTCCTCGGGCTCGTGGAGCTGGGGGCTCTCGGGCGGCGTGGGGGGCGGCGGGGCTCCCTCGGGCCGCGGCGCCTCCTCCTCCATGTTGACCGCGTGCTCCGCGTTCTCGATGATCTCCTGCAGCAGCTTCCGCTTCTGGTACTCGGGGCCTGCGGAGAGAGGGGTTGGCGTGAGGAGTCGCCCCAGGGCTGGGGGACATCACGGCTTCGGCACCGGTGCCCCCAGCCCTGAGGGATTTGGGGGTCGCTGGGCGAGGGTCCAGGTTGGAGGCTGTGAGAAGGACACAAATAAGAGCCTGCTGCCAGGAGGGATTTCCTCCAGGAGCAGCCAGAGGCTCCAAGGCCCATCGTGTGCTTCCCTGGTTGGGAAGAGCCAAGCAGGAAGGAGCAGGTGGGGGAGCTACAGATGAGGGAAAAGAAACAGAGAAAATCTGCAGAGAAAATCTCGTGGTCACACAGATGGGTCATGCTGGGGCTAAAGAGGATGCCTGGCACCATCACACAAGGTGACTCAGGGCTTCAGGTTTCGTTCTGGCCTCACCTCTCATGCTGACTTGTGAATTCCTAGCAATGTTGCCTCACTTCAATTATTCACCTATCATTAAATCTTTTACTTCTTATTAACCTTAGGCAGTGTCTGCACAGCAAATTGCAGCCCAGCCTAAGTCTGGGGAAGTCAGCCAGAGCCTGACACTGAAGATACCCATCACGGTGGATGTCTGGCTGACCAAAATCCACCACTGAGCAACTGGGAATATCTTGTGGAATCACAACTCTGCGCAGTGTTCTGCATGCTGGGACATGTGCTGGGATAAGGGTCCTTGCACATCACCATGATGATCATAGCAAGTGAAAACTAGAACAGCATCATGCCCTTTATGGGCAGTGCAAGGTCACAAAGCAGCTGGTTTGAAAGCCAAGCACCTGCTTTGGCCTTATTCTGCTGAACTCCAGCGGTGCTGAGGGGTGCAGACCCACAGGGCTTGCTCCTGAACCACACTGATCCTGGAGCTGTGCCATCCATGGCTGCCTCAAGGCCCCTCCCCTTGTCTCCTCCACCCCAAGAACTAATACAGACAAGTCTGGTTGGGAAATTTGGCTTGGTGCTCCTTTCCCTCTAATAAATCAGGGGTATGATGTGCACACTGCTACCTTCCCCCCATGCAGGCAATGCCTCTGCTTGGAGGGACCGTGGGGAGAAGGAGGGCACTGATTTTATCTGCTCTGCCCTGCCTGCACCCTCCTGTCAATCAGCAGGTGACCCATTCAGGGCCATTTATTTCTGGCTGCCAGCAAGTTATTTGGAAGCTGTTTCAACAGTTGTTCAGGCTCTTCAAAAGAGGCTGCCTGCAGCTCCAGGCTCCTTGCTCTCTCACCCTGCTTTCTTCTCTTCCTGAATAATTCACACCAAAAACACAAAACAAAAAAAAACCAAAAAAAAAACAAAACAAACAAACAAACAAAAAAACCAAACCAAACCAAAAAAAAAAAAAAACCAACTGCCTGGAGTAGCACCACAGTCACCTCCTCACTTTCATCTCCCAGCACAACATTTCAGGAAGGACTTTGGCTTACATCCCTCTCCTCAAAGCTATTAGGGATGATACCCTAACTGAAATCCAGGGCTCAATACTCATCAGAGCTACGGGGCTTGCTGGGCAGGATTGCCTGTGCCAGACACAGCAGGGTCTATCTGCCAGGACAGCAGGGAGAAACACGGCTACAAACCACTGCTGGGCTCTCTTGGCTCTGTGGCCAGCAGCTCCCAGTCCTAGTAAAATCCAAGGGTGGACTATTGTCTGTTTGTTCACAGATAGTGCAGCCATGCAAGAAGAGACATCTGCCCTTGTTGTGCACTTTGGGAATTTGGAGATGTAAAAGAAGCAGCTTACAAGGCCTGGAGAGAGGCAGCCCAGGACCCAAGCGAGGCCCTGCATGACAGCAGCATCCAGCATCTGAGGAGCCAGAAGGGGAGGTCAGGCTGCCTCAAGCATTTTGCAGAGACCACTTCAACTGTCTCATTCAATCGCTGTGGGTGGAAAAAAATAATCCAGCTAGATGTCCAAAACCTCCCCTCAGGAATTCCAGTTTCCTTTGCCTCCGTGCTATAAATACCCCAGTGTGCAAAGGGTGAATGTGGAGCTGTGAGTGGCAGCTGGGAGGGCTTATGTGAGGATCAAGAGACGTTTAGCCATTGTTAAATGAAGTGCCACACGCTGGCTCATGCCCACGCAGGGGTGCTGAGGTGTTTCCCACTCAAAGCAGCTCCGATGGGCCTCGCTGGGCAGTGGGGAGGAACAGGCAGCCCTCCAGCACAGTGTCTCCCCAGCTGGTAGGTGCAGGGCAAGGTGGGAGTACAGGGAATTTAGGCAAATCTGTCAGCATGACGCTCCCCAGCCAAGTGCTGGCTGTGAGCTGTGCCCTGCTCCCACTGTGTGCCCTGTGCTGGGTGTACAGGAGATGCAGAGGCACCAAAATCAGAGCAGCAGCAGCATCTGTCAGGTTTTGCTGAGCAGGAGTCAACCTTTGGCTTCTAACCCCAGTTCTGCTGCTATGATAGTCCCTTGTGATCCTGCCTCAGCAACCATGGGGCACTCACTGCAGGCAACAGAGCCAGATAATAAGAAAGATGGGATGAAAATGTAGGCACTTGGAATCTTATTTTCTGCTCTGTTACTACCTTCCCTCTCTAGAAAGGAAAGTTTTCCAGGAAGAGCTAACTCAGTCTAGGGAAAGGTAATGGCATTCACAATGCTGCTTCTAATATTACACTTCCTATCTACTAATCCTCAGTGCTTGGTCTCACAGAAGGAACCTCCCAAGTGTTTGCCCAGCCGAATAATCAGCAGTGATGCTGACAAATAAAGAGTGAATCAGAGAAATAGTAATTTGCATTAGCTTCTTTCTTATAGGATATTACAGCTCCTAATTAGCAGAGTGTGATTGTGCCCTTATGTGTCGTGGGGCCCCACAGGACATGGGCTCGGGAGGCAATGTGCACAGCTGTTCCAAGAAAAAGCCACAAGGGATATATCTACAGGAGTGCTGCAAATAGCCCCAAGCTTGCTGCCTGTCCTGCCTGGAGTTCTGAGGGCTTTGGTGTGTGGAAAACCACGAGGAGAGGTTGAGGGACTGTGGGATTTTCCTCCAGGTAACACAGTGGGTAAAACAGGGGTGTAAGGAGGACAGCAAATTAGCCAGGGCAGGGGGCTGGCTAGAACTGAGCAAAGGAGGATTTAGGACAGACAGGAGGGTAACTTGTAGAGTTATAAAGTGGGTAAAGTATTTGAACAGATTCCCCAAGGAAATTGCAAAAACTCCTCTTAGAAAATGCCTCTGATCCTACCTGGCTGGTAGAAGTCTGGGGAGAGCTCCCTGGCCATCATTCTGGCTATGCCCGACTCGTTGTTGGCTGCCTGAGCTGCCTGCTCAGACCCCTCAGCCTTGGCTTTGGCATGAGCTGTCCTGCAGAGAGAAGAGGGGACAACAGTGAGCACCCTCTGAGCCAAGGCTGTCCCAGCTCGAGCACCAAACCCTGTCCAGCACCAAAATCAAAGCAGCCCATCCGGTATAACAGCACTCAGCATTTGCCCAGGAGAGCCAAAACTCGACACCCAAGGAGGAAAGACCAGATTTTCAGCAAGGAAGGGGCCCGGATGCTCAAGGATAAGGTGGGAAGGTTGCACAAGGGCACAGGGCAGGTGTGTTTGCAAATGTGAGCGTGTTTTTGTGTGGCAGTGAAGCAGCAGGTGCTGCTTGCTGCTGTGCTGCTCAGAGCAATGCCCAGAGCATCCCACAGGCATCTGTGGAGCATAAGGGGACAATATGTGGTGGCTGAACTCTGCTGTGCTGTCACCAGCCCGGAGCTGCTGCACCTCACCAGAGGCAGCGTGTTCCTGCCCCACACACCCCTAAGACACCTTTTACCCCAAATGTCCCTCCTGGAGCTCTCCAGCAAACAACACACATTGTCCAGGGGCTCCTTTACTCGTCCCAGCCCATGGGGCTGCTCTCATCAGTGTAGGAAAGACAGAGCTATTGCCTCTGTCCCATCTTGGCTCCCTGAGTCCTCTCCACTTCTTCCCGGCACATCTCCTCCTTGCTCCATAGGGCTGCAGGGCTCTGGGAGTTATTTTACTGGCCAGCTGTCGTATTCCTCACATGCCTCACGCTCGGGGCCCTGTGATCTTTTTGCTAAAAGCAGGGTGGCTTTACAGCCCAGCTGCTCAGTCTGGGAAGGAGCTGACTTCAAACAGCAAAGTTGCACCTTAAAAATAAGGGTGGGTGAAGCACCGTATATTCATCTGCTTTGTTCCACCCAGGGCTTACCAAGAGCTGCCTTCCCCATGCTCTCACTGTCAGGTTTGCCAAGGCTCCCCATAGCTCCCCTTTTACATACAAATCCACATATTTTTGTGTGGACAGTTAAGATAAGGAGTTATAGCATTCATCAAACACCAATTCACTCCGAATTACAATCTTTATTGTGGACTTAAGGTGTCTGATGAGCCCTTTTCAGACTCAGGTTGGTATTTGGTCATGTTTTAGGACCAAAAAAAGGAGGAAAAGATGCAGTTCTCATGCCTACAGTGAAAATGCTCCAGAGGAATGTTTGGACTGTTAGTCATGAAATCAGGATTAATTCTTCCCCATTAAACTGAGATGCAGTAGGCAGACAAGACTAGCTGTAGTCTGAATACTCAACAGGAGGAATGAAAAAGTGATAGAAATGCTGTTCTGAGAGCCTTAGAAGGGAGAAGATACACACATATGCCATTCTGAGTAGCTGCAAGGAAAGAACTAAAAGTGGGGCATCAATCCCAACTGACACAGGCAAGAGTGTGACTTGACAGGGAGCTGAAAACACTGTTCAGGGCCCTGCAATAGAGAAGAGGGTGTGGAGCTGCTGTGGCTCAGCCTATCCCTCCCTGGGATGACATCCCACTCCACTGGAGCCATGATTCACCTCCCTGCCCACACTCACACGTTATCTCCCCGCTTTCTCTGCAGGCTGGGCTGCCTGGGATTGCAGTCATTCTTGGTCTTTTTATCCAAAATTATTACAGCTCCTGACAAATCCAGAGACAAGACACGATGAGGCAGAAAACAGCATTTTTAAGCTGCTGCTCACAAGCAGGGGGTCTGAGCCAGCTCCAGACAGAGAGAGGCACCTCCTTTTTTGGTAGCAAATAATCAGCGTGATTAATTCCTCTATAATCTGGCAGGGGCCAAGGGGGATGTCTCTGTGCTCTCCCTGCCTGGGGGATCAGGACAGGCTGGGCACTCTGTGCCTGGGGCACACAGCCTGCCTGGAGCCAACCTCTGGGAACAGCCTTGCAAAGGGGGGACCCGGCTCCTCATCCCTGCAGGATGGGCTCCAGCCCCTGGCTTTGTCTTGGAGGATGAGATTCAGCACCAAGAGATAAAATTCTCCCTTCCAGTTGCTCGCTGAGCCGGGCAGATGCCGTCCTGACCAATTCCCAGGCAGACAATCAGCCAGCTGGCCCCAGCTGGGGGAGCAGCAGGCAGCTCCTGGCAAGTGCTTTCCTCAAAGTGGCTCCTCAAAAAAAGTAGTCTGGAAGTGGACTAGACGTGGGGTCTGCTCTCAGTAGTAAGGAGAGAGCGGGTGCAGATGGCTCCCACATGCTCAGCTCTCTCCCAGCATCTCGGAACAACACCAGAGAACAGCCTGGGAGTGTTGGAGTTACAAAGTAGCTCCCAGTTATGCTTTTCTCCTGGTGGACATTTGCTTTCCTCCAGAGAGGCTGCTGGGTGCTATTTGGCTGCTGTGGGGGGCTTGAGTACTGCAATTCCTGCAGGTAAAGAGATGGCAAGACCGAGGAGATGCCAGCCTGGGTTGCAGAGCCTGTGGTGAGACACTGTGGGCAGTGGGGAGCTGAGCCATCACTGCCAGCCACCGTGGCCCCAAGGCTGGAAGGGCTCTGCTGTGAGCCCTCCTGGGCACAGAGGGGTGTGAGGCCAGGGAGGCCACGGGGCACCTCCCAAGCTCCACACAGGAGCGGTGGGAAGAAGCTGAGCAGCAGAATTTTGGCATCCTGCACTGCCCAGGCACTGCGAGCCGCGTGGCAGCTTTGCCCAGCTCTCTCGCTCTGCAGGACACACCTGACCTCTGCTCCCACCTCCTTGCTTGTAAAGTCATCCAGAAGTGTTTGATTTGGAGGGACTACGGTCAGCACAGCTGCAGCTTCAAATCTGGCACCTCCAGCAGCCCACGTGCTGTCCCTGTCGGCATCCCAGGAGAGCACTGCTCTCCCAGCCAACAGGGATGCTGATGCCCCCTGTGCTGGGTCCCTCCACTGCTGAGATAATTTATTATGGCAGCAGCCAGGTGATGAACACTTGGCTTTCAGAGGCATGGCACAGCCTCTTCAGTACATCTCCCCTGGCTGTGCTGCACAGCCCCGGGGCACCAAGTGAAGGCAGAGCTGCTGCAACCCTCCAAAAACCCACGCTGAGGGCTTAATATCACTGTGACAAAGCCCAGCCTGGAGGAAAGGGCCCAGCCATAACAATAACATCTAACGGCCTCGAGTATTCCTGAATTTTTTATCTGCCTGGCTGGCAGTGCCTGGGAGCTCAACACAGAGGAAAACCTGGCTCTGGCAGCAAAGAAAGAGACAAACACCAGCTGCCCTGGGAAAGCACAGGGAGGTTTGAGGGTGATTTTTGAACCTCAGACATGAAACATGTAAAGGGAAAAATTTCTTCCAGGGTTAAAATCTTCTGAAAAAGCTGAATCAGCTTTTGCAAAGTGGAAATGCCAGCCTTTTATGATGTGAATGTAAATTTGATGTTTTTCAGGCAGCAATTAAACCAGGGCTAAACTTTTTTATTTACTGCTGGTTGTGCTGTCAGCTCCCAGCACCTCTGCAAGAAAGCAGCCCCTGCAAAAACCAGCAGAGCAGGAAGTCTTGAGATGGAGGAGGTCAGGGGGAAACTGAAACACAGTCCCATGGGTTTTAGAGGAGCAGAATTCAAGACTCCCGTTTCAAGGCAGCGCTGGAAAACGAGCCACAAACACTAAACACACCCAACCTGGGGGGATAAACACAAAGAAGGGCCTTTGCAAACCCCTAGCAGTGCTCCCTGTCCCAACCCAAGCAGTGCCACTGGGATGAACACTTCCCAGTTGCACCCTGAGCCACCTCCCTGGGCAGCGCTGTTAAAAATAGCTCCAGTGAATTCTTTGCAAGGAGGAGCAGCAGCCCTGAGCTGAGCTGAGTTGAGGGAGGCACGTGGGCAATGTCTGCAGCCCCTGTCCCAGCCCTGCTGCCGCTGCCTCCCGCCTGGCTCCCCGCGCCTGCCGCGCTTCACACCCCAGCGGGACGGGAGGGTTAAACGCATCTGCTGCTTTATTTGCTCCTCTGGCTCGCCTCTAGTGCTCCAATCATTTTTGTACTAGTGCAGGACAGAGAACTGCTCCTGTCCTTCCTGAAGCACTGCCTGGATCGTTCCTGTGGCTGCTGCTGCCATCCCCCGTGGACACCCGAGCCGCAGCTGAGCACCGCGCTAACAGGTGAGCCCCAAGCCCAGCCAGCGTGCCCGGCCCTTTGGACACTTTATGCTGTTTTGCACATCCACATTGGATTAGACTGTAAATGAGATCGGAATTAGCAGAGAATACTGCAAATACCAGACGGGGTTGGGGTGCCTGCAGGTGCAGCAATGACCTTGCTGCTAGAAATAGGGCGAGAGCTCAGCTCTCTGCCCAAACTGTTCACATTTGCTTATGAAGGGAATGACAGACCTGTCCAGAACTGTCCTTCCTTCTCCAGGGTCTCCTTCCTCCCACTGATACAGCAAACCCTGAGCAAGGACCACCTGAACACCTCTCCAACCCAACCCATTGCACGATTCTTGCCATTCCTGGTATCGTGAGCTGTCAAAAAGACAAAGAAACAAATGTAATTCATCACTCAGCTCTAGGAAGTGAGACTTCTGCTGAACTCCCCTCTCCTGGAAACTAACTTTTCCACTCCCAGCCAAATCCCTGCTCCAGCATCCAGCAGGAATCATTTTGTCCTTCTGAAGAAACTTGAGATAGCAGTTTGTGTTGGCAGGAATGTTTGCAGCACTCAGAAGGGATAGAGGGAAGGCTGCAGAAGTGTTTTTGGTGATGGCAACCAATCCTTTCTGTGTTCACAGTCATGAAGGGCGAGAGAGCACAGACCTGACCAGCACACACCTTTGCTGAGGCTGGGACTGGATGACCTTTAAAGCTCCCTTCTAACCCAGACAATTCTATGATTCTACATCCTGACCAGGACAGAACTTTCTGGCTTCTCCATTTTCTGCCCTGTCTTTGGACTTGTGTCACCTTTAGGGCTGGAGCATCCTTTTCTTCCTGCTTAGTCCCAATCCATCTGGACCTTTGTGTCTCTCCCTCTGCATGCATGCAGATACCTGCAAAACTCTGCTACCCTCATTTACCTGGAACCAGCCCA